ACATCCAGCCATTCACGGTTAGAGAAACAGGACCACACTGGAAAACAGGCAGATCTCCAGCATCTTTAAACAAAGGTGTTGATGGAAGCAGCACAGCTGATATTTCTCTCCAGGATGGAGTCACAGCCAAACAGGAACAGACGAGGCAAAGCTACTCTGAGGAAAAGCAAAGAGAGCAGAACGTTAGAGATTGAACTAACAGATTCTACAGAATAGGAGAATAGAGATAGAAAGAAGCAGAATGATGAAATGGGGGTCCCTATGTCCTCCAGAAGTTTAAGCCTATAGCAGCATAACTATAGAGATAGCTCAGGATAACCTGAGCCCCTCTAACTATAGCTTTATCAAAAAGGAAAGTTTTAAGCCTAGTCTTAAAAGTAGATTCACAGCATCTTAGTCTTCTGCCGTTGCCCGAGCACCAAATAACTAATCTAATTTATGCCATCATCTGGGAGGGGAGTTTTCCTCTCCACTGTCACTACATGCATACTCAAGGATTGCTTATAGTCAAATAGTTTTCACACTAAGCTGGTTTTCCTTAAATAGAAATAATTTGAAGAATAAAATTGTGTTTCCTGTATGAATAAATTGAATGTTTTCTGATTGCAGCTTTTCTCTGTGTGAGTCTTTCCAGGTTGAATTAAGGGTTTGCTTTAAACGGTAATTAATTGGTTGAATTTAGGCTCTTTCTTCTTGCATTTTAATTCAGATACACTGAAAGGGATTTGTTTTTTATATTTAGGGTAAATAGTTTTTTTAAGGCACAGCATCACAACAGCCCAGACTTTGAGTAGGATGAGAAATATATTTAAATTAAAATTTTCAACCTGTTCAGTGGTGACGGTTAAAGACTCCAAACTGATGGGCAGAAACTATTCTTCAGATTTATCTATAAAGAAGGAGAACTAATCAAGATATCAGGACCCAGAGAAGGAAAACAGTCCCAGAACACCACTCTACCACTGCCATGTTTTACTGCTGAGGTGATCGGTTTCTGAAATGCTTTGTTAGTTTTGCACCTGTACTATCTGGACCTACATCTTCCAAGATGTTTCATCTTTATTGGTATCAATCAACAAACTATTTTACCAAAAGTCTTTTGGATCTTCATCCTATTTCTGCTCTCTGGCGAATAGGTTCTTTTTGATTGCTGCTGGTTTTTGCTTCTCATTCTCCTAAATGTATGAATGATTGAACTGAAGCAGAGGAGGCCTGTAGAGCTTTAGATGCTGCTCTGGGTTCGATTGTTACCTCCTGGAAGAGTTGCTGATGCACTCTTGTAATAATTTCTGTAGGCCGGTCGCTCATATTTCCGTGAAGGCATTGGTGAGACAGAAAAAATGTAACTTGAACTTTTTTCCTCAACAAAAATCAACACACAGGACAATATTTAATTTGCATACATTTAGTTTTTAGTTTTTCTGCACTTAGCACTAACCCCTCATGTTATAATAGGAGCAGAATAAAAATGTTGCATGACCATAACTGTCTTTAATGGCTCTTCCTTTATGTTAAGTAGGACTGGATGGATAAATAGCGTATAATTATTATCACAGTTTATTATAAACATAATTACCCCAATTTTTGTTCGCAGTAGCTTTGATGTTTTTCCTAATTTCCTCAGAACGGTTGGTACAGAACTGAACACACAACATTCCCGCCATGCACGCTGTAACGTCTCCAGAAGATCCCTGCATCAGATCTGTGTGTTTCAGGTTCAGGAGCTTTTATTTTGTTCAGATTGTGGCTATAAATAGAGGCATAAAACCATCTTTGTTTGGCTAGTAGTCAGACTCTCAGATGCAAAGCTGTTAGTCAAATAATTGTGACAAACTTGTAACCATCCAAACAGACAAACTGAGCCGTTAAAAAGAGCCCAAACAATCGGCTAAAGTAATGGATAAATGAAACTTGAATGTTGTGGGAAAAGTGACTTAAATGCAGGCCTAAAGGGAATTTCCTTATTAAACATTTTGATTGAAGCTAGAGTGTGGGATATAAACAGTGTTTATTGTTAATAGGCTGAGAAGAAGTTAGTGTTGTGAACATGTGAAGAGATCTGTGAATTATAAAGCTGGACCCGCTGGAAAACCTACAAAATGAGTCTCCTGACTATAAATATGAGATGAGGCGGTCTGCTCATGCGCTCTTTGTTATCAGAGAACCGAGCCACAGATGAACCGTGCTGAGCCTTACTGTTGAACTAGTGCAAAATTTTTAATGCACAAGACAGGATTAATATTTCATTCACTCTTACTAGCTGGACACTTACCACAGTAATCTCCCAGGTGCTGATTGTATCGGCGTTTCTCCTTCCACCTGCAGGCTGCCACTTGTTGCCGAGGCCCAGATTTCCCATGAGGCTGCACGATTAGCGTCAATATGGCGCATAAATTACTCAACTTCTTAAGTAGATGATTAAGTTGAAATAATATTAAGTTAGAATGAGTACTACTTGTAGTTCTTGAAACTAATCAGTAGAATGAATCCATTCCCAAATATTTTGTTTGTAATTTACCAAGAATATTTACAATATATATAAAAAAAATTATTTGTTAAGCAAATACTAATTTCCTTTTGTGAAATAAACCTAACTCATAGTTGTAAATTGGACACAAAAATAACAGTTGAATTTTTAGACATTTATTTTGGTATGTACAACTCAAATAATCACTTAAGTGATTTTTTAGAGATTTTATTAAGTTAGTATAGCTATTTATTACTATGATATTTACAAAGCCTGTGAATAATTTTTTGGGTGTAGATTTAGTGCGGTTTGGTTGTGTCTGGCAGGTCCAGTTCAGTTGCGTTCCATTTACACTCTACAGTTAGCTCGGTTACCGTGCTTGGACCGTTCTCGGCAGGGTTTCAAAAGGATAGTGTAAATGAGGCTACTGTTAAAGTGTTTTCCAGGATTATTGGTTTTCGTCAAGGAGATCTGGCCTCATTCTGGGAGAGTCGGGTTGCTTAGAAGGCTGGTCAGATCCCTGATGGGGTCAAAGGCATGTGTTAGTTTAATGCCATGCAATCAGTGTTATTACATGCCTGTGATCAAAACTATGATTATTCTAAATCATTTATACGTCCAACAATTAGGTTCTTAAACTTGACCTAAGTTTCTGGTTTTGTATTTCTGAACATTGTGTGTGAACGTTGTTGCTCGTCTGTTTTCTCCGTATGTCTGGTCGGGTCGCTACAATGAATCGCCCTTCATGGGTTTAATAAATTGTTTCAGATTCTAGTTTTGGTCTTTTACTGAGCCATTCTAACACAGAGATACAACTGGTCTGAACCTCCAGCTGTAGATCCGGGCTTCAGTGTATAATTTTGCTTTTTTCAGATTTGTGTGTTTATGTGTTTTATGCAAATAAAACTTAACACATGTCACATATAAATTAATAATTTTGTGTATTGGTTGTGAACACCAGCAGAAGCTTGGTGAGGTTGGAGTCATAAAAATTTACTATTAAATCAGCTGTATAGATTTACACCCCTTTATGGTTTTTTTGTTTGAAAAATACAATCCTAAGGAACATGCTTCATCTTCATTAATTCAATTCAATTCAATTTATATAGCGCCAAATTTACAACACATGTCATCTCAAGGCGTTTACAGTTCAACCAGATCATACAGTCAAATTGATACAAAGTTTTCTATCTAAGGAAAACCAGTTGATTGCATCGACTCATTGACTCAATACAATCCTTCACACTAAGCATGCTTGTAGCGACAGTGGAGAGGAAAAACTCCCTTTGAACAGGAAGAAACCTCCAGCAGAACCAGGCTCAGTGTGAGCGGCCATCTGCTGAGGCCGACTGGCCGACAGAAGCAGAGACACAAAAAGCATCTGTAAAAGGCGGCCCCTTTTTTTTATTTTTACATAATTTAAGCCACTCTCTACAGAAGCGGATAAGGGCCACTGAACAAAAAAAATAAATTAACTTATTTTTACATTTACATAATATGAGAACAAAAAAGTCAGAATTCTAAGATTAAAACCAGAATTCTGACTTTTTTTTCTGGAATTCTGACTTTAATTTCAGAATTCTGACTGAATTCTGACAGCTAACAAACATGTTAGCATCAAGCGGTAGCCATGTCTGTTTTACAGACTAGCTCTCTTGTTTTAATCCCCTTCTGCTCCTCCATAAATGAAATAGCAAAACCGGGGACCCCTCAGGCACATAAAAAGTTGCCTAATTACGTCATTTTTCACCAATGTGTCTCTGGCCCTCCCAAACAACTCAAATCTTTGTAAGTAAAGCCGAGTTCTCCCACATCTCTTCCTTAATGGTGTCCATATACATTAAGATCCAAAATTCTGAGATTAGTCAGAATTTTAAGAAAAAAGTGAGAATACTGAGATTAAAGTCAGAATTTTGAGATTAAAGTCAGAATTGTTTGAAAAAAGTCAGAATTCTGAGATTAAAGTGAGAATTCTGAGATCAAAGTCAGAATAGTTAGAAAAAAGTCAGAATTCTGAGATTAAAGACCAAATTTTGAGAAAAAAGTCAGAATAGTTAGAAAAAAGTCAGAATTCTGAGATTAAAGACCAAATTTTGAGAAAAAAGTCAGAATTGTTTGAAAAAAGTCAGAATTCTGAGATTAAAGTGAGAATTCTGAGATCAAAGTCAGAATAGTTAGAAAAAAGTCAGAATTCTGAGATTAAAGACCAAATTTTGAGAAAAAAGTCAGAATTGTTAGAAAAAAGTCAGAATTCTGAGATTAAAGACCAAATTGTGAGAAAAAAAGTCAGAATTCTGAGATTAAAATCAGAATTGTTAGAAAAAAGTCAGAATTCTGAGATTAAAGTCAAAGTTCTGACTTTTTACCCCATTTAAACTGAAATAAAATAAAAAAATCAGTCAACTTTTTTTGCTTTTTCAGTGTCCCTAATCCTCTTTCGTAGGTAATTGAGCAAATTAGCATTTTTTAAACAAAATTTAAGCAACTCTCCGTTTTTTCAATCCAATGTAATATCTGGCATCGATACATCGAGTCTGGTCATCCTGAAGGAATCCCGGAAGTGCTGTCGTTAGCTAACATCGGCAGGTGAAAGGAGAAAGTACAGCTCCATATCTGCCTGTTTGCTTCAGCAGACGTGCTCCATTTGTTCTGTACTCCTCACAGCAGGATGCCTGAAGTTCACACGCCAAGGTAAGGCTGCTTAAACTCTGACCGTGTCTCTGTAGCAGAGCTACGGCTCTGCTTCACCATCATCGCCCCATTTACCGGGTTAGCTTAGAACTGGGATGAATGTCACAGAAGCAGACAGTTCGGTTTATTCTGCCAAATAACACCGCGAAGACCAGAAAGAGTCCAAAAAATATACTGATGAAAATATACTGCTTAAGTTCAACACTTAATATCAGCATTAATGATACATTTTCATTAAAAATAATTGCTTAATTAATTAGTTATTTGATCAGGGTCATTTCCCCCTAACCTTTATAAAACAGACCCTTATATCTGGAGGGGGGACAGGTGTGTCTGTCCTCCAGGCCAGGGTTTGAGGACAGGTGTGTCTCTACCTCAGGTGTCTCCAAAGTCAGTCCTTCAAGGTGGGATGTTAGAAAGATCTCCCTGCTGCAGCAAACCTGATTCTGATGATGATTGTTCAGCAAACTCCAGTCAGATTTGCATGAAATTGACAGTTGTTACATAAGAATTACTGCATCGCCCAACCAATTGCATGAGTAAATTTGTATAAATACCTATCATCTTAAACCACATGAAATAACCATGGAAACTGTACCCTCAGGCTGTTACAAAGAGGCTTTATGTGCAACGTGGACCATGGCAGGAGTGTCTGGTGAAGCATCGCGGTGTAACTTTCAGCCACTAGACCTGTAACTTCTAAGTTCAGCTCTCCTAAGAGTATGGAGTGAAATTTGTTCCCTTAAAGTTGCAAAGAACACGTTTTGTAAAGGAAAATCTGAGTAAAATGCAATCAACAAATGAATATTTGAAAAAAAACTTAGTAACTTTCCTTTTTTCTCAGTTATTTTCTTTTTTTCAAATAATTTTTTTTTCCCAGATTTTATATCTTTAATTTTTGCTTTTTCAAATTTCCCGTTTTCAGAATGAGTTTTACAAATTGTATTCTTTTCAAATTGGGTTTCACAGATCAGTCATCTTCACTTCAAGGCCTATCCAAGCACTCGCTTGTTTTGCAATGATGCTAAATTAATGAGCTTCTCACTGTGCAGCAAATATGCAAAATAAAACGGACACGATTATAATTAGTCAGAAAACTACATTATCTTTTACTCTAATGTTGTTTGCCTTTAACATAATGCCTTGGTGAAATTATATGTTCCTTTAAAATATATAAGAGCAAGTTATTACGATTATTTTCTGGGTAAAAACATGCTTGGCTGGTTAATAAGTTTATATTCAGGTCTACTTGGCCTGTGAATCTAACAGTTAATTCCAGATCCTGGATTTTAGGCTCTGATGCACATTTACAGACTTTAACAGAGCAATATTAACAGTTCACATTTAGCTTTTCCTGCAGTTGTTGAGGAGGATTACGTTGTTTTTCAGGCTAAATTGAAAAAAGTAACGCTGAAATTATTAGTTGGATTAATTGTGATAGACTATTGAAATAATTGTCAATTAATTTAGTAATCGATTAATCGTTAACTGGAGTTTAGAGACTGTGAGACATGCATTTAGCTGTCCCAAATAGAGCAATAATAATACCCAAATTGTAAAATAAAATAAAAAATATTTGTATTTCATATTTAAATTGAAAAAATGTTTTCGTCTGCCAATATGCTCTATCCAGAACTCCTCAAGTGAAAAAGTTTTATTTTCACCTGGTTTCATTTCGTACAAAAATCCTTTTTCTATCCAATTATTAATCGAAAAAAGAATCAACAGATGAATCAATTTGCAAATTATTTGCTAGTTGTAGCCCTACCAAAGACCTCTGCTGCCTGCAAAGATCGCAGGATTGTTTCTGACTTTTGATCGTCTCCTCTGTGTTTCCCTCCTTCACGTCTCGTCTTCCTGTTAAGGATCCAAGCCGTTCAAACCAGCGCTTGCGCTGGACTGGATGGCTTCAAGGCTCACGCTGTGTTCCAGGAGATCAACAAGAAGCTTCAGGAGGTGATTGATTTACAACAAAGACCAATGAAACTATCTGACTTTTCTTTCTTTAGACGAAATGACAAATAAATGTCCATGGATACATGTCAGCTGCAAATATTGACCAATACAGGTGCTGGTCATAAAATTAGAATATCATGAAAAAGTAGATTGATTTCAGTAATTCCATTTAAAAAGTGAAACTTGTATATTATATTCATACATTACATACAAACTCATATATTTCAGATGTTTATTTTGTTTAATTTTGATGATTACAAATGACAACAAATGCAAATCTCAAATTCATCATATCAGAAAATTAGAATATTACTGAAGACCAATAAAAACAAAGGATTTATAGAAATGTTGGCCAACTGAAAAGTATGAACATGAAAAGTATGAGCATGTACAGCACTCAGTATTTAGTTGGGCCTCCTTTGGCCTGTATTACTGCAGCAATGCGGCGTGGCATGGAGTCGATCAGTCTGTGGCACTGCTCAGGTGTTATGATAGCCCAGGTTGCTCTAATAGTGGCTTTTAGCTCTTCTGAATTGTTGGGTCTGGTGTATTGCATCTTCTTCTTCACAATACCCCATAGATTTTCTATGGGGTTAAGGTCAGGAGAGTTTGCTGGCCAATTAAGAACAGGGATACCATGGTCCTTCAACCAGGTACTGGTAGCTTTGGCACTGTGTGCAGGTGCCAAGTCCTGTTGGAAAATGAAATCTGCATCTCCAAAAAGTTGGTCAGCTGCAGGAAGCATGAAGTGCTCTAAAACTTCCTGGTATGTGGCTGCGTTGACCCTGGACCTCAGAAAACACAATGGACCAACACCAGCAGATGACATGGCACCCCAAACCATCACTGACTGTGGAAACTTTACACTGGACTTCAAGCAACATGGATGAAGTGCCTCTCTTCTTTTCCTCCAGACTCTGGGACCTTGATTTCCAAAGGAAATGCAAAATTTACTTTCATCAGAGAACATGACTTTGGACCACTCACCAGCAGTCCAGTCCTGTTTCTCTTTAGCCCAGGCAAGACGCTTCTGACGCTGTCTGAAAGACCATTTAAAGGCTTTTGCAGGTGGTTTGAGTTAATTAGCTGATTAGAGTGTGGCACCAGGGGCCATCAATTTTGAACCTTTTCACAATATTCTAATTTTCTGATATGATGAATTTGAGATTTTCATTTGTTGTCATTTGTAATCATCAAAATTAAACAAAATAAACATCTGAAATATATGAGTTTGTATGTAATGTATGAATATAATATACAAGTTTCACTTTTTAAATGGAATTACTGAAATCAATCTACTTTTTCATGATATTCTAATTTTATGACCAGCACCTGTAGAATAAACATTTACTTCATAATTGCAAACTCTTATTCCTTATTTTAAAACTGAAGCTCACAGATAGATCCCCGCTGATTAAAGCGCATTATCATGGGTCACAGAAGTATCCTCGCTTCTTGATTCGCTTTAAAAAACAAAAGATATGCATTTTACTTTTTCGTCTGTTCCAATTTGCAATTTTTTTTTTATTTAAACTTTGTTGGGCTATAGTATTAAACTTTAATGCTATTCCTGACATTTTGAATTGAAAAAGCTTCCTGGATGGGAAGCGAAACGTCTTCAAACTTGGAAACAAAGTCCAGCGAATTGTTTTTAATTTTCTGTTTTTGGAGTGACTTTTTTCTATAAATTTCTAAAGAACACATTTGAAAATTAGCATTCGTGTGCAAAAATTGCTACATAAGAATCTTGCATTTTGAAAAAAAAATCAGGAATTCTGAATATATGTTTATTTCTGCATCAATAAATCTCAATGAAATGATAAAAAAAATCAGAAATTGTTAAAAGGTAAAGTATTTTGAAAGATTTTTTTTTTTTTATCAATAAGTCTGACTGAAATTCAGATGCTTTGAAAAGGTAAAATTTTTTGAATAAATCTTTATTTCTACAATATTAAATCCTATTTGATTCTAATTTCACTGCATACTTTGTTACATTTAATGTTGAATATTTGGGTTTGGGTCTGTCTGACTTTCTTAAATTAAAGGAAACATTGCTTAGAGAAATTAAAAACTACCTGGGAAACACTCATGACTTCTCAAATAATATTTCTAAAAAATAAATGCAAAGTTTAGAGCATTAAAACTTGTTGGTTTTCAAACTTTACAATGATTGGTAGATAAGATCAGCCGGCCGACCAATTGTTGCATCTCTACTGGTAATTAAATAAAACCCTTTTTGCAGATATAACATGAAGTTACTGAATCTCCAACCTTTCAGCTGTTTATATAAACCAACCAGCCTCTTATTTTATCTGCTGTGGTATTTAAACCTCGTCCATCTGGGTTAGTAGGTGTGGATTTATGGGTGAGCTCCACCACATACTACCCACTTCTCTCCTTTTGTAGGAAGGGGAGCAGTTTGTGAGGAAAATCGGGGGAATTTTTGCCTTTAAAGTGAAGGACGGCCCAAACGGACAGGAGGCCACGTGGATCGTGGACGTGAAGAACGGTAAAGGCTGCGTTCACAACGACACAGGTGAGGAGGAAAAACCAGCTGCAGGTTCAGCTTAAAGTTGAAGGTCTGCATAGACTCTCTTATCTGCTTTGTCCCTGTTTTCCCTTTAGCTCAGCAAAGATTTCTGCTCTTTAACTTCTTTATCTCCACCCTGCAGACAAGAAAGCCGATTGCACCATCTCCATGTCGGATACAGACCTGCTGGCTTTGATGACCGGGAAGATGAACCCGCAGACGGTGAGAATCTGAGTGAACTTGAACACTTTAAAGCTTCTCTGAGCAGGAAAAAAAAAAAAAAAAAGAACCCAGCAGCCTTCCCGAGCTCCCAATCATTACCTTCGTCCTGCAGCGCGACGATGCCTTCAAGGACACGGTCTTATCAGTGTCAAACAGTGAGAGCTGCTCACTGAAGCGGAAAGGGAATCATCAACCGCGGATATGTTTGGAAAAACCTTGTCTTTAGAATGAAGCAGTCCGATCCTGGTGGCGCTGACATTCCCAGACTGAAGAAGTGAGAGGCTCAGACTTAAAAGGGCAAATAAACATTTTAAGATTTATAACTATCTTCCATAACCTCTCAAATTATAACTGCATCTCGTTCACTGACTCCACATTGTAGGCAAGACTCAAAGCAGCTTAATACTGAATAAAAAGGGGAGTGGTGGCCTAATAGTTGGGGCATAGATCTTGGAATCCTTCGGGTTGTGAGTTTGAAACCTACTCCAGAGGTTGACGTTAAGGATTTTTACCACTTGCCCTTCGGGCCAGTGACTTTCACATTTCATTTGCCCAGAAACAATTTTTACTTTCCCAGTATAATGTTTGATAAATATAGTTCCTAATATTCATTTTTGTATATATATCAATGAAACATGTTTGTTTTTTAAATGTTTTTTGTAATTCAGTATTTTTTAAGTTTCCAGGTTCCTGGTGTGTATCTGCATGCGTCAGATAATGAACTCAAGCCTACATTACCGCGTTAACATGCTTTTCAATCCTTCCTGCACATTATTTTCAAACTAAACTTTGCTTTAAACTGTTGTGTGCTTGGAAAAATATAAATTGTAATGTTAAAAATCTAAAAAAAAAAAACTCGACAGGTTAAAAACTTAAGATAAATCACAAGACAGAAGTCAATGTCACAAATAAATAACTTTTATTTTAGAGTCACGGTATGTTTATAGAAGATAATACTATTAATATAATGTGACTTTTCTAGAGAATCATTATACATAGTTATTTTATTCAGGGTTTCCACAGTCTTACATAATTTCAAAATTCCCTGACTTTTAACTGACTCAGGATTAGTTTTCCCTGACAAAATAAATGCAGCAACAAGACAATAATAATAACATAACAGGTCACCAATCTAACATGTTTAGCTCTATAACATTTAAATGCACCTCTCCAATGTCTAAGAGAAAAAAATTAATGAACATTTTTAATGCATGACCTGCATCACTGTACAGAAGACTGCCATATGTTAGCGCTTTCTAGCTTGTTTGTTGTTTTGGTAACTACATCAAAATTACCGCTAGGTGGACAAAAATCACTAGCCTGACGTAGTCCTACTCAATTCTAGTCAGAATGAGTCTGATGCTGCTCCATAGAGCTGTGATTATGGGGCGTGTTTCGAACGGACCAGGAAAAAAAATGCCTCTGCACTCAATTGGATAGACCTACAACCAATAAGAGCAATGGAGTGCGTGACGTATGTTAAGCGAGGCATAGTTGTTGTCCACAAAAATCAAAGCGTGCAGTTGCACGCCTAGAATAAGAAGATGAGCCTTGATCGCGTTTCTCTGTTCCTCTTTTAAAATTATTTTGCTGTCGATATCTTCTAGAACAGACCTAATAGCAGAATCTACTCACCTCAACTCTCCAGCGGCAGCCATTGTTGTTGTCACCGTAGCACGCTTTGGTCACGTGGTTGATTACGTTACTGTTAGTCATCTGTCCATCATCGTATAAAGCCCGCCCTGACAATTTGATTGGATCGCCTGACAGTGGCCGATAATACTCGCGCTACTATGGAGCAATGCCAGACCGAACTTCCCGACCTCAAACTTTGTGGGCGGGACTAAGTTCGGAATGGCACCCAGGCTAAAAAATCACGCCATCTGGCGGAAAATCTTGCGGCTTTTTCAAATCACGCAAGAATGTGTACAAAACAATAAAAACGGCGCCGGCTGGGTCGTTTTCATCGAATGTCGGTGATTTTAAAGTCATTTTGAGTGATAAATAATTTTTTTTGCGATCATTGCACTTGCCTGGCGGGCAAATGCAATGAAATTTGTACTCTCCCAACAATGAAAACTACTTGCTCCGGGAGATCGGGCGATGGTTAACATCAAGCCCTGCACTCCCACATCCTGCCACTCTGGGTCTCTGAGTAAGACCTTTAACCCCACACTGCTCCCCGGGCGCCGCACGATGGCAGCCCACAGCTCCCCAAGGGGATGGGTTCAATGCAGAGAGTTCATTTCTCTGATGCGAGATCAATAAAGTTAAATTATTATTATTATATTACTATAACTACATAGGTGAAAGATTTAAAAATTAAAAAAATTCAAAGTTTGGTCAGCTTTATTGGGAGAATTCATCAGAACGAGCACACAACAGGAACATGTGAGGAATCAGCAGGAGCTTTCCATGGTACTAGCATTTCAACGCTCATACAAGCTTATTTTTCAAAAGATTTGCAATTTTTCCACTAGAGGTGAGTATTGGCACGAGTGTTGCGATTCGAGACATGTCGCGATATTTGGGTCACGATACGATATTATCACGATATTGCAGTATCACTATATATTGCCATATTTTCTCCAGCTATTAATATCAAATGATGAGATAAAACAGCAAGTGATTTCATCAGAAAATATTGATTAGGTATTATTATCCATGTTGTTTGGGGTTTTTCTTCCACTGTAACTGCCTCAAATACAGATTTGGTGCTGCACGCACAGTTAAAGGGTTCCACAGCGCTTTCTGCCAGAGTGGTGGTGGAGAGGTCATTTTCCCATCAATGTTTTATGTAACCATTTAAAAAAAAAATCGATACTAAGAAGTGAAAGATCGATATTATATTGGGCAGCCGAATATCACGATATATCGCCCAAACGATTATTTCCCACACCCCTATTTTCCACTATGTCGGACTCACCATCGGTAGGTGAAAATGGGGATGAGCACGTAGGACGGCCCTACGTGAGCATATCAAAAGAATGATTGACAGTTAGGAGGAACGCTTATTTAGATGATCCACCCGGGAAAAGAACATCCTCAACTATACCTTTAATTTCTGTTTAAAAATCTCTCATCAAGCATTTTTAGCCATTTGAATATCAACCGATAAAACGAAAATATAGTCAACATATCGATCAATACCTAAAAAGTGGTTAGCTGAAGCCTAACTTCCCACTGCTCATTAGTTTTCCCATCATTTCTTTCACTGTTTTGAGTCAGTCTGCTGTATAGTTTCCGGTGGTGTCATAAGCCTTTGTTTTGTCGTTGCCCCACTTTCTCCCAGGCTGAGTTAATCTCTCACGGTAACCCGTAGTTCACTCTAACACACATTTCAAGCTGTTCTGATACTCATTTTTCTACCTCCTCTTCCCTCCATCCCCTGTGACTCTCAGGCGTTTTTCCAGGGCAAACTGAAGATCACAGGAAACATGGGCCTGGCCATGAAGCTCCAAAACCTCCAGCTGCAGCCGGGCAAAGCCAAGCTGTAGAGCAGATGCTTGGTCCAGTCCTCACCAACATGGAGAGGTTGCTTCCACAGAAACATTGGAGGCTGTAAGGAATCAATGCGGACGGACCGATCCAGTTTTTCTCTTGGGTGATCTCACTGACCAAGCAGGGGATTAGTCAGAGCCCCGCCTGTCTAACTGGGGAATAGATAGATGGACAGATCATTAATTTCCTAATTGAGTTCCTGTCTGCGGGTTTTTTTAGTGTCAGTCTGCCAGATCTCAGACGGCTGCTCCCTACTTTGCTACTAATTGCATTTCTGTCCAGATTTTCTAACCCTCACCAATGATGAATTGTAACTTTGCGTGCTCTAAAACTGGAGCTGATGGACAATAAGTTGCACAACCATGACTGCAGCTGTGTAAGTGCCTCCCTCAGTGTCTCTAATCAATGTTTGTAGTTAACCCCCCTAAACAGAGCAGTTTCTGACCAACACTTTATCTCTCTGGGCTGTAATTTCCTGCATTGTATAAATTTGTCAGATTTCTTTGAAATAAAGTTGTCTTTACTGAACAGTTTGGTCTGTTTTTGGTTTTATTTGCTGCTCTGATTTTGACCTCATGTTCCTCAAACACATGGCAGATCCCAGGAGACGGTAGAAAGAACGAGGCTTTATTTTTCCAACACTACGGCGACCTGATTCTGCACACTGACACGCTGCACGTGGAGGAGCATGGCTCACACACAAATCTTTTAACTAGCTCTGACCCAGATTCCTCTGCAGCTTTGGCTCACTCTGATGTCACACTGGGGTTATTTTACTCGTCAGGAAAGACTGAAGTAATTGAATCAATGCCAATTCCCTTTCTGATTCGTTAGCCGAACTGAACTGTATGTTGTTCTGCTAATGGCTTCACTCCTGAAACAGGTTTCCCTGGAGTGAGAAGTGGTTGATCAGCCGGCATCTTCTTTAGTGGAGTTGGTGTTTGCAGTTTGTGAAGCAAAATGTCAAAAAAAAGTTTGAAAAGATCTGTAAAAACAGATTATTTTAATATTACTCAAAGTTTTATTTCTTGCATTCCTTTTTAGTGTGTTTGTCATTTCCATTTATAAATTCCTTTGCTTGTAACAATAATGGGATAAAATTCACTCCATAGATTTAAAAGGGTTAAAAAAGCAGGATATAGGAGCTTTAGGTGGAGACAAATTTAATGCTTCACTGTGTAACTATATAAAACAATAAGCGAAAGTATAAGTTGGTGTCATCTGTGACACATTTGACATTTGTGGCCAATTTAAAATGCATTTTATGTTCTCTGCATGAGTGATTGTTTGTCTGCTTCTGTCTCCTTTATCCCAGTCGGCCTCGGCAGACTGGTTCTGCTGGAGGTTTCTTCCTGTTAAAAGGGAGTTTTTCCTCTCCACTGTCGCTACAAGTCAATAAGTTGATCCAATCAACTGGTTTTTCATTGAAAGAAAACCTTTAATCAATTCGATTGTATGATCTGGTGAACTGTAACGTGCCTTGAGATGATGTGAATTGGCGCTATATAAATAAACTGAATTGAACTGATTGTTTTAAAGCAGATTTTTCAAGAACACCTCATGTATTTAATGCATTTGCCATTACAGGGTTAATATTAAAGCGTAACAGTTTAATCTGTTTCCAGTGACCATGGTGCTTCTTTATGTTCAGTGCAGCCTCTTCATTGATCAGAAATGTGTTCAGAGATGGTTTGAAATGACAGCTGATCTTTATGCAGCTGAAACATGAGACATGAACCAAAGTCTTCTTGCTGTTTGAACAATTGCTGTGACCCGGGTCATTTTCCAGGAATACAAACAGATCCACGTCAGAGGAAGGGGATCCAGATGAGAGTTCAGTAGGAAAAGCTGAGGGGAACCTTTAGCTAATGTTATATGATGCTGAAGTTATGGCATTAGTTGCAGTTTGACGCGACATGTTCTTCATTCTCAATCTTTATGTTTGACATTTAAAATGCTGCAGGAATTAAAGACTAAAATGATATTATAGTTTTTTAATATCTGTCATGAGGTAGGACCTTCCTGTGGACCTTCATCTCTCCCTCCCTCTCCACCCTATTTTATGTCACACCTCTTTCAAAATAAAGGCCCGGAGTATCAAAGAAATAAAAATAACAAAAAAAACCCCAGCTTTTTTTATTTTAAGCTGTTTCACTGTAAGAGTTGATTTATATATTGTAATCTCAAGACAATTCAATCAGATCATCCAGTCTGGGTGGTTCAAAGCTTTTACCAAAGAAAACCAGCTGATTGCATCGATTCGACTTTGAAAGATTCTTTCCTCCTGGATGAGCAGGTAGAAACAGCTGCACAGCTTGAGCTGTTGTCCACTCTATTATTTATTTTCTGAATAATTAACCAGAATCCAGGTCATATACAGTTTAACTTCAATAACTCTATGAGAACTGTAATTACCACAGTATAAGATCTGGCTCCTAGTTTCTGTTTCTGATCTTTTTGAAAATGTTATATATATATATATGTATATATATATATATATGTCACCTCCTAATGAGGTCGCCGATGGTTTCCTCAGATCAGGACCAAAGCAAAAAAAACGAATGACCATGCGTCATCACCCTTCAATGTCACATTAATGAACACATTTCTGTTGATCTTGCTCATAAAATCTCAGTAAAACCCATTTAGACTGGTGGTGCTAAAGTGACACCTGTAAAAAGATTCAAAAGGTGTCTATTATATTTCACATTTTAATAACCGTTGCTGTGCAACTTCATTAGAAGAAATATGGGTTTACATAACAACCTCTGGCTTTTGTGAGTCCACAACTTCCCCATAATCTGGTCAAAGGATAAAAGCCTCACATTTTCAGCATGTTTTGTGCTCATCTAACCAGCAGAGGGCAGCCTTACTCAGTCCCTGTGATGTTTCAACTCAATGGGAAATACAAAGGAAAGAGAATTGTACCCATAGCAGATATGCATCTAAAAAAAAAAATACTTCTTTAAAGAAAGGAGCATAAAGAATATCTAAATCTTGGCCTTGAACATATTCTCTCTCATAATCAGCTGAAGCCAACCCACACCACCCTCCTCCATCTGAAAAGACAGACTTAAAGTCTGTTTCCATTGTTCAAAAGTCCACTTTTCACCAAAGTTCTTCGCTTATGCAATTATGTCGACATAAGGTCTCAATGAGAACTACACTATAAGACGCAATATTAATAAATCTTTTAAAGAATTCTGTCTTACAATAGCCAGACGTCAAAAAAACCCAGTAAATGTACAGGTGCTGGTCATAAAATTAGAATATCATGAAAAAGTAGATTGATTTCAGTAATTCCATTTAAAAAGTGAAACTTGTATATTATATTCATACATTACATACAAACTCATATATTTCAGATGTTTATTTTGTTTAATTTTGATGATTACAAATGACAACAAATGAAAATCTCAAATTCATCATATCAGAAAATTAGAATATTACTGAAGACCAATAAAAACAAAGGATTTATAGAAATGTTGGCCAGCTGAAAAGTATGAACATGAAAAGTATGAGCATGTACAGCACTCAGTATTTAGTTGGGCCTCCTTTGGCCTGTATTACTGCAGCAATGCGGCGTGGCATGGAGTCGACCAGTCTGTGGCACTGCTCAGGTGTTATGATAGCCCAGGTTGCTCTAATAGTGGCTTTTAGCTCTTCTGAATTGTTGGGTCTGGTGTATTGCATCTTCTTCTTCACAATACCCCATAGATTTTCTATGGGGTTAAGGTCAGGAGAGTTTGCTGGCCAATTAAGAACAGGGATACCATGGTCCTTCAACCAGGTACTGGTAGCTTTGGCACTGTCTGCAGGTGCCAAGTCCTGTTGGAAAATGAAATCTGCATCTCCAAAAAGTTGGTCAGCTGCAGGAAGCATGAAGTGCTCTAAAACTTCCTGGTATGTGGCTGCGTTGACCCTGGACCTCAGAAAACACAATGGACCAACACCAGCAGATGACATGGCACCCCAAACCATCACTGACTGTGGAAACTTTACACTGGACTTCAAGCAACGTGGATGAAGTGCCTCTCTTCTTTTCCTCCAGACTCTGGGACCTTGATTTCCAAAGGAAATGCAAAATTTACTTTCATCAGAGAACATGACTTTGGACCACTCACAAGCAGTCCAGTCCTGTTTCTCTTTAGCCCAGGCAAGACGCTTCTGACGCTGTCTGTGGTTCAAGAGTGGCTTGACACAAGGAATGCGACAGCAGAAACCCATGTCTTTCATACGTCTGTGTGTGGTGGTTCTTGAAGCACTCACTCCAGCTGCAGTCCACTCTTTGTGAATCTCCCCCACATTTTTGAATGGGTTTTGTTTCACAATCCTCTCCAGGGTGCGGTTATCTCTCTTGCTTGTACACTTTTTTCGACCACATCTTTTCCTTCCCTTCGCCTCTCTATTAATGTGCTTGGACACTGAGCTCTGTGAACAGCCAGCCTCTTTAGCGATGACCTTTTGTGTCTTGCCCTCCTTGTGCAAGGTGTCGATGGTCGTCTTTTGGACAACTGTCAAGTCAGCAGTCTTCCCCATGATTGTGTAGCCTATAGAACTAGACTGAAAGACCATTTAAAGGCTTTTGCAGGTGGTTTGAGTTAATTAGCTGATTAGAGTGTGGCACCAGGGGCCATCAATTTTGAACCTTTTCACAATATTCTAATTTTCTGATATGATGAATTTGAGATTTTCATTTGTTGTCATTTGTAATCATCAAAATTAAACAAAATTAACATCTGAAATATATGAGTTTGTATGTAATGTATGAATATAATATACAAGTTTCACTTTTTAAATGGAATTACTGAAATCAATCTACTTTTTCATGATATTCTAATTTTATGACCAGCACCTGTACAGTGCTGACCTCAAAGGTTTCTCTCTTTTTCTTGCTTTTTTGCATTAAAGTTTCCATTAACTTGTAATCAGTCAAACACGTTGGATGAATTCTGGAACTTTCTACTTTGTAGAATAGTTTTATCTCAGCTACATTGAAAGTGTTTTTTATTTTTTTTAGCATGAAAATCTTGTTCAAGTAACAGTATAAAAGCCAGAGTTTAACCGACAATAAACTTTATATAACTTTTTAAACTTTTTTTTTATTTTTACCCTGTTAGAGACTGACCCTGGTTCCCTCAAGCTTAAAGGTACAAACCTATGGTTAGACATTTTATGGAGTGAATTTTGTTTTCATATTGTTGCAAGCAATATTAAAAAACAACAACAAATATTAAAAAAGAACATGCTTTGTAAATAGAAATTAGTAGAAGAAAAATTTTATCCAGAAATAAAGCTTTGAAAAAGGTTTTAATTGAAAAAGGATATGAAAATAACTACACTGTTTGCTCAGATTTTTTATTTTTTTTTTTCAAATAATTTTTCTCTTTTTAACATTTTTTATCACATTTGATTTTTTTCAAATTGTATTTTTTTATTTTAGTTAAATAATTTAAAATGGACTTTTACACAAAACTGCAATCTAAAAAAAATTAAAAAGGGGGGTTTGCCATACACTCTAGAATATT